TCCTGACACCCAGGACTCCGTGGATTTGCACACAGTCCCCTGGCAGGGTGGAAGGCGGTCCCTGGGGAGAGGCCGAGCTGTGCTCTCGCCTGCCTGTCTTAGTCTGCACTAGAGCTCTGCGTCCAGTGTAGGGTTTTGCTGCTGAGACTGCGAGGATCAAGCCTCACCATTCCCTAGCACGACGTCCCTCACCCAGCCTGCCAGGACATTCTCAATGGCACAACGGTGGCATTCGTAGCTGTTGGACGTAAGCCCTGCTTGATACGAAGGAATTCATGTCTGATACTGTGAGCATAGCCAAGTCTGTACCCATTATTTCTTATTTTAGACTTATTTTTATTTATGTGTATGTGTGGGTCTCCATGTTTGTATCCCATATGTGTGCAGGAGGAGGCCAGAAGAGGGTGTTGCCATCCCCTAGAGATGGAATTATGGAGGCTCTAAGCCACCTAATATTGGTGCTGATAACTGAGCTTGGGTTTTCTGCAAGGGCTGTACATGCTCTTAACCAATGAGCCATGCCTCAGGTCCTGTGTCTTTTAATTGGAGAGTTGAAACCATTTATTACATTTACAGCATTTCTGGAAAGAATCAAATTGGGAAAATCCTTGAGTAATCAATGTATTGACACATGGGTAAGAGGATCAAGTATCAAGTGAAGACATTTCTGAAGGTTTTTAAGAGTGATGCCTTCTGGCCTTACAGACCATGGCAGGAAATCATCATTTTAATCTAATTTGTTCCTTTGTTGAGACAGGTTCTCCCTATATAGGCCTTGGCTAGCCTCAAGTTAATGGTACTTCTTCTCAATTTATCCCTCTTCTTGGCTCCAAAATCTCCAGAATTGTAGCCACATGCCTCACTTTGCCTTAGTTTTATTCTAAATTAAACGTAAGGTCTCTCTGAAGAAGAAAAATGAGAATAACAGAACTCAAAGTATATTTTCTTAATTTTTTTCTATAAAATTATGGGAAGACATACACATTACAGGTTCAGGCTAAGAAAGCCAATATTTAAATAATAGAATTTCCAGAAAAAAAACCAGAATGCCTTTAAAGATCCCCAAACTAACAAGAACAAAACATTACAAATGGAAAGGGCTCATTGATGTATCCTCACAATAAATAAATACGGTGATATTAAGTCATATACATAAAACTTTAGACTACTAAGGGCAAGAGAAAGAGGCTTCCAGAAAGAAGGAGAGAGGGAGGGAGAGAGAGGTGATCATACAAGACTGTACTCTCCGATAGTCACACTAGAATTTCAAAGTCAATCCCATCATTCTTTTTAAAATCCCAAGGAATTTTAAAAATAGTGTGTATCCAGCCAAACTGCCAAATAAGTTTGAGGGTTATTGTTAAGATACTATGTTATACAGGCAAGAAAAAGATAGTGATGGTTTGCTATATACTCCAGACGAGAATATGATTTTCTTTGTCCAGAATAATGTAAAAAGCTGATTGGTTCTACCTTCATCTTGTAGATGATGATGCTTCAGTTATTTAAAGGGGGAGGGCTGGAAACGGACCCTTGAGTTTTGGTATGTGTTGGTGTATAATCCTGGCCACAAGGCACCCCCTAGTCACCGTCTCCAGTTTCCCTGGGGAGAAGTCAGTTTTAAGGGAGTGATGGTGGCCTGTCAGCGGATGCTCCATCCTAGGCAAATGGCTTCTGACTGTGACCACAGAGCCAGGGGACCGTATGGACAGTTATAGTCCTTTCTCACATCTTTTCTTCAGTGCCATTGGTCACCCCAGAGGGGGGAGGCGCCACAGTGAGTCTTGAGGTTGACTTTTCTCCTTTAGGATTGGAATTCGGTATGAAATGAAATAAAGTGGCGTTTTGTGTGCAGAGGCGCACGGCCACAGACTCACATCTGCAGTAAAGACTGTAGTTATCTTCATGGAGGTTGCCATGTTGTCTCCTTAACTGTCTTTTAAAAAGACGGCATGTAAGCGTGACCTGTACACATACGTTAAACCTACCCTTTCCCACTGTGGAGGACAACTAAGAAAATCTGCGTAAGAAACGAAGGTCGGGCTTCAGTGGAGTTGAATTTCTGAGGAAGTCGACCTGGGGAGGTTTGTCATTGAATGTAATGGGCGTTAGGTTGCTTACTCCCCTTTGTTTTGGAGTGTCACGGCTGATCCTGAAGATCAGAAACAGAACCACTGTGTGGACACCATTACTTTTACATGGAGAGGCAGAAGGATGGCTCAAGCCCAACTCTCTCATGGCCAGAGGGTATCTCCGAGAGGTGGAAAATCGTCCGGGGCCTCTGGCGTTCTCCACCATCCTCCCATATGAGTAGTATCAGGACTGGTCCTGGCAGAAGCCCACCATCACATCTGCTTTGATTTTGCATCCTACACAAGGCCCAGGAGAGAAAGTTCCTGGTCTACACGGGGTGGAGGGGTGGGGGGGTGTTGTAATTTGGATAATAAATCATGCTAATTCGAAGGAATTTTCTCTGAACTGTGATTTCAGTACGTAGCCTCGACTGTAGCTCGGTGGTGGGGAGTGATAAGCTTGGGCTGCACACGGTTCTGGCTGCGGGGAAATGGCCAGCTAGCGGTAGCACCACCGCGAAAGCTACCCTTACATCCCACTTCTCACATCTTGCTTCAGAGCCCCATAGCCAGGCAGCTCCCTCTAGCCCATCCTCCGCCAGACTCACGGGTGAAAAGCCACAGACACAAGGTCACAGGAGAGCAGCTTCCCGCAACCTGCTAGTCTTTTGAGCCTGAGCTGTGGCTCTTGGCTTCATCGGTCTACAAACTCAAGCCATTACACTATTTCTCCCCAGCCTTTGGAGGGCCCAGGAGTCTACACCCTGAGCTCTGAGTTAGCATTGCTGGCTCGGACCCTAGCCAAAAGGCTTCCTTATCCCAGCCAGACACTCCGTTTCCGTCTGTTGTCTGGGACTGAGAGAAGGCAAGGAATGAGTATGCGAATCCTCCTGGTGTACAGTGAACACGCAGTTCACGGGTCAGTTCCTTGCAGTTTATCCTCTTGGCCAGTTTTAAATTCTCAGTGCTGGAGATCCTGTGTCTACAGGCTGACACCTTAGCTCCTAGGATCGGCAGAGCATTGTGTGAGGTGGATACCAAGTGCTGTGTGTTGAAGGCTTGGCTCCCGGCCCGTGAGGCTCTTGGGGTAGTGTAACTCTTAGGAGGTGGCTCAGGTTAAGAAGGTTGGATTCACTGGAAGGGGATATTAAGACCTGGTTGGCTGCTTTTTCCTCTTCCTCTGTCTCTGTCTGTCTGCTTCCTGCCCCCTCTCTCTCCTAGTTGGCTACCCTGAGGCAAACAACTCTTTTACTGTGTTCTCCTGCCACCACCGGTTCAAAGCACCAGAGCTGTGGCAGGCACCGTGGACTGAAACCGTGAGGCAAACCAACCTTTCTTTGTATATGGTTTATCTCAGATACTCTGTCACAGTGATTTAAAAAAAAAAAAAGCTGACTGACTGACATTTCCGCTATGGTCTGGGCAAGCTCTAACTGCAGTCACTTTTGACATCATATAAATTAAGTAAGTCAGTTGTGAAAGTATAACCCAGCAAAGAAGATACCTGCACAGAAGATACAGGGGACAGAAACACCAGAAGCCACCAGAGTCTGGGGTGGAAGTGGGGGAGGGGGAGGGGGAGCGGGAGGGGGGTACAGAATCTCCCTTGAACTTCTGAAGGGAGGACATGCCCTTGCTAACCCTCTCACCTGCAGACTTCAGGCCCCTGACACTCTGAGTTAATGAACTTGCCTTATCTCAAAGCAGCTCTGTTTGCTGTGATTTGTTATGTCAGCCAAGAGAAACTAATATAGACACCTGGTGGCCCTGTAAGTGGAGACCATTCTTTCGAATAGGTGACTTAGGCTGAAACACCAGCGTGCCTGTGTTGACATGGTAAGCAGTGACGGTGCTTTGGCAGTGATGTCCTCGCTGAAGAAGCTAAGCACACTAAGGGTGCCTGACAGGGTGTTTGGAGAATGCAGGCTAGATGGGATGCACAGAGGGACAAGCCCAGGTTCTAGAACACTTGACTTTGGGGTTCTAGGCTTCCATTGGCATCGCCGTAGTCGTAGCGATGACGGAGATGGGGACTGTGTATCGCATAGTTAGGACGTCTAAGTTAAGTTACGGCTGATCAAGGTAGTAGTGGTTACATTTTCTTCCTTAATCTGCTTTCCTTGAGTGAGACGCTTAACCCTGTTGAACGTCCCAGTCTCTGCTCAGCTGCCGTTAATTTGTTAATCTGAGGAAATTCGCATCCTCACCACTGGGGGGTGGTGTGCAGGGGTGTTCGCTCTGAGGTGTACACAGCCAAACGGCGTGCTTCTGGAGCCTCTACCAGGAGAGCTGTTTGGATGCTTCTAGGTCTCCCAGAGAGCATCAAGGGGAAAGGGGGCGGACACTGGAAAAGGCGGCTGTGACATCCTGGGAAACACTCCCACCCCTGAGTTCACCCGGTTTCCCAGTGACACCCCAATTCTAGGCCGCTGCAAACACACTCAGGAGACTGTTTGTACTTTTAGACACGACAGGCTCATCTTCTTACTCTGTCCTGGCCAGCATAGTCGCCCACTAGCCTACCATCAGCAGTTTAAATGCAAATTAATTGAAATGAAACACAATTTCATATTCTGTTCTGTGTTCACACTGGCCACAGTCAAAGACCGCTATAGGATACCAGTGACTATAGGATACCAGACCAGGATGGCGGAAGAAAGGTCACATTAATGTCAGGCTGTGAAGTAATGGGTAGCAGCATTCTGGGCATATACAATGGGTGGTAAAAGTTCAGCCGTGAGGGCAAAGAGCTTCTCCCTCTCAGAGACCACTGGCTCTCACTGCCTTCAGACCACGGGGGCTGCAGGCGTCCGTGTGCTCTTATCTGGGGACACGTGCATTTGGCCATACCGTACTAGGCTTCACAGATATCCCGTACATCTTAAGAAAGTAAGCACTGCCACTTCTCGCCTCTCGTGGAGGACGTTATTTATTGTAAGACATCATTTTTTTTTATTATTAAATACACTGTAGTACAAGAGACATTCCATGTCAGGTTGAGAGAAGCTGGTCACATGATTTACAAACAAACTTTTTTTTTTTGAACACTGTATTCAGGTGTCACTTTGAAATCAGCCAAGATGCAGTGAGTCTCAGTGAAGCACTGGACCTCAAAACAGATTGCAAAAAAAATAAAAAAATAAAAAAATAAAATGAGTAAGAGCCGGTAAAAAGCCGGCACAGAGACGTCACATTGAGAGGGAAATAAAGTAACCAAATAGGTAGAGTTCTAAATACCAGGTCACTGTTGAAGGGGCCATCCATCTGCAGAGAGATGGTGAAATGAGTGTATGTATGGCCTGGGGTATATACAAACACCTGTCCACTGCCTAAGCAAATGGAGCCATCTCTAGGCAGATTTGTAAGGAAGGCGGGGAGAGATATTTTGCCATAATATGCTCATTCCTTAGAGGAGTGCATACTTAAAATTCACATTTAACTCAAATACCTTGTATCGAAAATATTCCCAGCTGTTGTATACATTTTAAGCAACGGTAAGCGATAAGGAGCTGTAAGATAAGAGACCTCTACATCAAGTTTCATCTCTCCGTCCTCTGTGTTTTTCCTTTCTGCTGGAACGCACAGTGACAAGCAGCGGATGATACTTTGCCTAGCTCGCTGAACATTCGGTGGATCTCCACTCAGGATCATTTTCCTTTAACGCCACAGACCAAAGGGGGGAAAAATAAACGTGGACCTGGCCCAGGCTGCAAAATGATGTCCCTGTCTTTTCCCTCACCGCGTCTTGAGACACACACATCAAGATGGCATAGTTGCTTGGGGGTGGTTGTGAGATTCACAGTGTTTCTCTTGCAACACATTTACGTACACGCGATTGCTTTTGCTTCGTGTCTGTGATGGATGGACCGAAAGTCTGTAAGCAAATAAAAACGTAAGTAAATGAATTCGCAGGGGGAAGAAGAGCAGGTTGCCACAGCTAAGAATATAGCTAGGGGCCTTTGACTTTATCAGCGGTGACTGAGTCCAGCCCTGACAACCAGGAAATATGCCTTCCTGCGCTACTGTTGTCGTAACTACGAACCCCTCCCACCCCGGTACTTTATGATAGCCTGAGCTATCACAACCCGAGTCTCTGCGTTCCAGCGACGCATTGTGAAGACCTGGCTTAGACTGCAAGCCTGGACGTCTGGGGATTTGGGTCATTCGCCGTTCCTCTCGCGAGATTTACTTGGACCACGATGTGGGGGCCAAACCGAAGGTCAAGTTTGGAAGTAGGAGCCCTCTAATCGGGGGTAAGGGGGTGTGGAGGCGGACCAACGAGGACACACGTGCCTGTGCTGCCGTTTAAGAAATCAGACATGACTGAACGCCAGGCATTGCTGGGAGTCCCATTTTCGAAAGGACCAGGGACCCTGCTGTCCAGGCCTCGAGAAAGACAGCGCTTCACACCAGGGGTGTGGCTCCCCGTGTGGATGAGGGGTGACTGCAAGCTGCCCGTCTTGCTGTGTGGATTCTTGGTTGTTTTGTCATTCAGCCTTCAAGACACGGGTCTCCCAACCACACTGCAGTCTGCATCTAGAATGGGATTGGAGCGGGAGAGGGTGAGCGCGATGCGAGTGTGCGGGAGTGGGGAACTGGCTTCTCCGTCCCCGGACTTGCACACGAGGAGACCGTTTGTCTGCATTTTTTCCTTTGCAAGGGGCTGGAGAACATGCTTAATGGAGAGGATGGCTTTCAGTCCGTTGTTCCAGGGAGTGTGTGGCTTTCCACGCGTCTTCCATCCAAGGACTGCTCAGAGTGGAGAGTGGTGCGGTCCTTACCCACATGGAGAATGGGAACCCGAACAGCCGCACGACATTGGGAAGTTTTGGTTATTTAGCAAATTTTAAGCAAATTATTCATATTGCACCCTACTTATAATTTTTCTATTACCATGTGCCTATATGTTTATACATAAACACACAAACACACTACACATGTGCATTTGTATATGTATAAATCAAGTGTTTATAACGCATATTATATATGTGTATATATATATTTTATATATATATATAAAGTACATGAAAACACCATGAGCGGGGCTGATGTGAGCATGTGCGAATGATTTCTGATAGAACCCTTGATGGCAGTGTTTGAAGCGTTTTCTAAATGAGGCTGATTGTGACGTCGGCTCAGTGTGTGGGAGTCAGCAGAAGCACGTGATACGGCATCCCCGCTGCTGCTGCTTGGACTGCATGTGTTCCCTTTCGCCCTGACCTCCCCGCCCTGCTTCACAGACATGCTAGCATGCTTTCCTTCCTGAATGTCTTGTGTGTGTGCTAGCAGATGTAGTGGGCAGACTTGGGTGAAGCCCATGGCCTCTGAGCTTCTGAGTCTCTATTCCCTCATGAAAAATATGAGTAATTTGCCGACACATGCAAAAGGTGCCCAGAAACCATCGAGCGGGTTAGGAATGGAATGGATGTCGGAAGGGGCTCAGGTGGAGATTTTGGTTCACTACCACCAGGTTTGTCCTACTTGGAGAGGGATGCATGGTAGAACAAGAACGTTTCTTTCCTAAAAATTAAAATACCACAGGAAAGGGGATAATAGATGAATAATGGCAACTATTATAAGATGTCCTCAACTCATCCAACTACTTAAGAAGCAATCAGATGTTCTGTGATGCTCTGAAATCTGCACATGTTCTCGAGACAACAGAGGGAATAATAATAATTAATAGTAATAATAATCAGTATAAATGACTATAAAAATTTTCACTTGCATAGACACTTCCATTTGAAGACCTTCAGGGACCTGTCAGAAAGTATAAGAATCTCTCTCTCTCTCTTTCGCTTTTTTTTCCTTACAAGGAAAATACAAAGCTGGAATGGAATGCTCTCACATTCTCAATATAGACCTTGGATGTAAACCTGCATGCCCCGCCCTCTAACATTAGCCTCTGACAGAGCCATCCCCTCTGCTGAACAACTTGCAGCTTTTTCTCCCAGGTCAACTGGTCAGACTCACAGCGGCCGACCTATGTCACTGCTGATGGACTCCAGGGCAGCATGGACGTGCAAAGCTTCACAGTTCCACAGTGTTGTGACAGTACCACGGGTCCTTTGTATGATATATACGTGACTGTATACACCACGGAGATATGGCTTTCGGTATATTGTTATAGGTGGTCCGGAGGGGTTTGCTTTAATGGACAAAGAAGACATATAACTCCTGTCCCATGGGCCAGTGCAACAGAAGGGACCACGGTGTCCGCCTTATGTGACCCCCTCCCTTGAGCGAGGCCCCCTGACTCACCTTCTGTTCTCTGCTCGTTGACACTGAGCTTTTGTTTTAGATTTATTTTTGTTTTATTTTGAGATCCAGCTTTCAAAGTCTATACTAGAAAACACAGTGCTCCAGACATTAGTGGGCACAAATGAAACCTACCCAGAGCTCTTGCACCTTCAGAGATAAATACCAAATAAAATGTGCTAAGGCGAATTAAGTCACTCCCTTCCAATCTGGCTCGTGTTATGAAGATGTCAAGTTTATCGAACTTCCCCTCACAGAGGGGGACAGAGAAACGGAAATGCTGTTCTCCCTTGGTCTAACTGACTACCCTAATAACTGTAAATTTCTATTTAAATTTACACTTTCTCTTAGTAAAACCAGTGGTCATACCCAGAAGCAATATCTCCAGGCTCAGCCATACAGGGTCAATTTATTATTTTTCTTTCGTCTTCTTTTTTCTTTTTTTTTTTTAGTTTTTAACGGAGTATAGATAACAAAAGAGCACACTAACAGTGAGTATGTAGGAGTGGAACTACTCTCCCAAACAGAGCCCAGAGCAAGAGGCTTGACCTGGACACACTGAATGTGAACTCAGGTGCTGTCCCCAAGAGAGTCTTCCTTCCCCTCAGGGATGGATTCTGACTGTCCCACACTCCTATGGGTTTGAGGTGAATGAAGACACCCAGGCATCAGCACACCTACTAGGTAAGCCCATCGCCACCAACCGTAGAGTGTTCTCGGCTGCTGGTCTGGTTACTCTCCGTACGTTGCATAAATTAGACTTCTTACAGATCTGCCCTACCTGACGGGCACCAGAGCTGGCGCAGCAGTTCCTGAACATGGGTGTCCATTGACAAAGACCATGCACATTTGTTTTGCACAGTTAAGAGACGGGTGAGAGTCGGGGATTGGGGTTGGAGGGAATTGCTGTCTGAGAAGTTCAAGGTAACAGCGTACCTCAGGATTGATAGCGTCTCCTGTCTTTAGCAAGGACTCAGATTCTCCCATCTGACCCCGAAGTAACATCTGAGCAAGAATGTACCTCTTTCCAACTGAATTTGACAAAAGCTTGGTAGATAACACTTGAGGGACACATCAACTCTGTTCACCAGGCCCGGCCACAATGCGCTGTCTGAATGCACGGTGTGCCATCTGGGTCCCACTGAAGCCAGCTTTTCTTTCCGTCGCCGGCCGGTATCTGTGACTGGAAACTCTGTCCATGACACAGAATTAATTCAACATCCTCTTTCCTCCTCAGAAAGGTCCTCGGTGGGATGGTGCCGAATGTGCTCCTCCCAGCCAACAGTCGCTGGGTTTTCCTAAGCAGGGACTGACCCCAGACGGCTCCATTGGTTGTCTCTGTCCCGATCATGCTGTGGTTTATAGTAACACTTCTTTCTCTCTGGTTTTCATCTCCCGCAAATAAGATTTTCCTAGGTTGTACACAACTTTTCCTTCCCATACACAGGCTAAAGCCATCAGAAAACAATAAGAAGAGTAATAATAAATAAATGATAAATAAATAAATAGATAAATAAATAAATAATAGAAGTGAATCCATAGAAATGCCCCATGTCTGTACATCGGAAGTGGCGGTTTAAGTGAGATGTTTGATTTCCCTTTTTTTCATCCACGTCAAAGGCAGGGATACAACAAGGCATTGCTAGTTGTGGTGGGCAAACTGGAGTGTCTGCGGATATAACAAATTAGGTTTTTTTTTAAGGCCTTTGTCTATGTACAGTTAATAGGAATACAGAAGCCAGATCGATCAAGGAGAGAGGCTGAGGAAGCAGGGGAGGACCAAACATAAGAGCTGAAAGGGGCCAAAGAAAGAGACAAACAAACCAGAGGAGATGGGAAGAGAGAAAGAGACGACGCCAAAAGCGAGTTAATGCTGTCTGTGGATGGAGAAGTACACACTGCTTCCCTCCAGAAGCCGGCTCCTCGTCTTGTCAATACTGTCAGAGCGGGAGGGACCGGCAAGGTCGTGACACCCGGCGGTAGTTAAGAGGTTCATCGTGTCGGCCAGTCTGGGGAGTGCGTCGGGAAGGGTGGGTCTGGGGAGAAGGGGGCCTAGCCCAGGACGTCCAGGTAGATGGGAGATGCCTTGGCCAAGTTCTGCAGGAGCGCGTGGATGCCCTTGATGCTCTTCCTCATGTGCGGCTCGCGCTGCCAGCAGCCCAGCATCAGCTCGTAGACCTCCTGGGGGCACGTGCGGGGCCGCTGCAGGACTCGGCCCTGGGTGATGCATTCTATCACCTGCAGGGAGACCAGAGGCAGGGTTGGCAGGAGAAGGGGCCATGGGTGTGGGACATCAGTGCAGGAGGAGCAAGGGAGGGCTTCTCCTTTCCTTAACTGTTTAAAAGTCAAGTCAAACCATTTGCGCTTGTTTCTGGAGGCCAGCGCGGGATCCCTTGAGACACGCGTGTCTGTGCATACACAGCGTGTGCTTACTACATAGGGGCAGCCAGCACCCGTGTCTCCTTAACCGTCTAGCATGTCTTCGGGCTGGGAGCCTTCCACCTCCTCCCTTCAAGCTTCCCATAAAACCCTATCTTTGCTACAAGGGGCTGAATGTTGTCATCCCACCCACCGTGAGGCTACACCAGCCCTTACTGAGGGGCGGCCAATCAGTTACCAGTCCATGTTTGTTCTTTTAAAATGTCTCTTTTGTGGTTATTCGTTGGAGATGTAATAAGCTTAGGATCCACAGTCACAGTAGAGTGTGGCAGCGTTCTGGAATTAGCTTCCCTGTGCACCTACATGGTGGTGCTTTCCTCTCTGCCCCTTCACCAAGACTCCCCTTGTGGATTTCCAGGGAGAGCGGTTTTTAGGCATGGTCTTGCTGTGTATCCCAGGCCAGCCTTGAACTCATGGCCCGCTTATCTCAGCCTCAGAGGAAAACCCTGTCACTGCCTTCTCACAAGGGAAGGAGCCACTCTGGTTCTTACAAAGCTGGCAAAAGCCTGACTTATTCACAAAGGGTCATCTAAAGTTCACATAGGAAGTCCTGTGTGTTTTCAGGTTGTCCCTGCTAGAGATAGAACCCAAATCACTTTTTTTGCATGAGGTGTTGACTGGCAGGGAACCCCAGGCAGCAGATGTGATTAGGGTCACTGTCTATCAGAGCTGAATTAAAAGACGGGCATGGATCTGAGAGGGACAGGAGATGCTGAGGGAATGCTGTGTGTCCAACACAGACACGCTGCAGGCTGGTTGCACCGCGGGCTGCAGCTGTGCATCCAGAAAACAGCAGATTGAAAATACATGGGTTGGTAGTGGTGTGTGTTTGTATGTGTGTGTGTGTGTGTGCTGGGGAGGGTCCCTCCCAAACCATTGCACACCTCGTTGTTTGACAGCTGATACCAGGGCTGCTTGCCATAGGTGAAGATCTCCCACAACACGACCCCCAGGCTCCAGACGTCGCTCTCGGTGGTAAATTTCCTGTACATGATGCTCTCTGGAGGCATCCAGCGGATGGGCAGCATCGTGTGGCCACCGACCTGGCAAGGAGGAAATCAACAAGGAGCGTCAATCATCTGTAACCATTGTAGAAGGTGCTGTCAGGGAGATGGCTCTTTTTTTTTTTTTTTTTTTTTTTTGGTTTTTACGAGACAGGGTTTCTCTGTATTGTTTTGGAGGCTATCGGTCCAGCCTGGCCTCAAACTCACAGAGATCCACCTGCCTCTGCCTCCCGAGTGCTGGGATTAAAGGCGTGCGCCACCAACGCCCGGCAGAGATGGCTCTTACAAGGGGTATGTACGTTCTCCATTTTCTCAGGGAACCATGTCAGGGGCCTGTTTCAAACATTATTTGCACTTTGGTATCCTCAAAGCCAGAGTAGAGAACATTGAGTGGGTGTCCATTTTGGATTTACAAAAGCCTTCTTGTCCTTTCTGTAGGAGGAATTGACCTGTCTATTAATAAACATGATGATTTTGACCAGGACAACAAACAAGAGATCTGCATCCCAGCCTAATGGTACCCAAAATGGAAGCTATTATTCCCATTTTACTGACAAGCAACCAAGGTATGTGAACTATGGTTTTGGAATCAAAGTTTTAGATTAGCCTCTACAATGGGGTATACTATGTAGCTTGTTAACTGCAACAAATAAATTTATCTTAGAAGAAAGATGCCCATTTTAGTGAAAACACAAGCTATGGCGTGGGTCACCTGGCAATAGCACCAGTTCACCCCCCCCAGAGACTTGCTTGACACAGGAGACGACGTATCATATATGGCATTCTGTGTGGTGCAGAAAAGGATGCCATTTTAGGTTTGCCACTCTGTGAGGATGTCTGGTTCCTGTACAGTATTCCCATGGCCTATGGCTCTCATTTCTCATCCTGGCAATCCCCTGGTGCTACTGAGGCCACGGGGGACATTGACACTCAATGACCTGAATTAGAAACCTGAGTGACAAGGATGGCCTCAGGGTTTAGCATGAACACCACATGGAATCACTGCCCAGTTTTCATTCTCAGTATCAATTTGTGACATTTTTATATAAAGGAAATGTTCCTGACCATGTGTCTGAAAGTGGTGGTGACATTTCCTCCTAGGACCACAACCGAAGTGGCACAGACCCTAACCGGCCAACAGGGAATATACCCCATGCATGATATAGCCAGACTGCTTGAATACTGGTCTAGTTGACCCTTCCTTCTTCGTGCTCAGGACACTGACAAAGAGAAGCTGCTGAAATACACAGGGGGCCCAACATTTCCCAGTTCTCAGCAGGACCCATGACTGGAGGGGAAATGATGCCCTGGGGCCTGGCTGCTCTCATCACAGCAGAGTGAGGGCTGCTTTGTGGACAGGCGGAGGCTGGTCCTGATGATTCCCAAGCCAGGAACACTTCCCCTCTGGCCATATTCCAGAATGGCCTGAGAACATTTCCCCCTGCCGTGTGGCACTCCTGCCTTCTTGATGTTCTCTGAGGACGCACTGGGGAAGTTTTTCAGAGTTTACAAACATCTGCCCACTCCTCCATCTCATTTCATGAACATACACGGTGTGTCGGTGAGCTGGTCCTTTTCATCCACACAGCACACATTCACTGGGGACTTACTAAGGTCCTAAATATAGCCCGATCCTGCTTGAGGAGGCCACACAGACAAGGAAGGGACAAGATCAAAGGGGAACTGTTTCAGACCTTGCTTCTTTCTTTTTTCCTAAAAAAGCACTCCTACCTACCCTATTAGTACATTGTAGCAGGTGGCAAGAATGTAGCTGACTCCATTGTGTGTCTTGTCCCTTGTGACTTCTCATTACAAAGAGTTTAAAGTGAGACTCAGAGAGGACATGTCACAGTGAAGACTATGGCTTTATCTTCTGGCTGTGCCAAGTCCTACTGTTAATGCATCTGAAGGGGGGGAGGATTTCTGAACAAGAAGGCCAAGTGTTTCTCTCATTGGTTGATGAATAAAACACTGCTTGGCCAATAGAGGTGGGAAGATAGGTGGGACTATGAGAGGGGGGGGGGGAATTCTGGGAAAGGAAGGCGGAGAGAGACCATGAAGAGATGCCATTTAGCAGTGAAAGGAGTAACGGGTCCGGACCCTTCTACGATAAGACATGACCATGTGGAAACACATAGATTTTATAGAAATGAGTTAATAATTAAGACAGAGCTAGCCATTAGGAAGCCCTTGCCATCGGCCAACAGTTTTGTAATTAATATAGCATCTCTGTGTGCTTATTTGGAGATGAAGCAGCAGTGGCACCTGTCAAGAAACACACATGTCTGTGAACGTTTCCATCAATGGGGTCTGAGACAGGCACCTGTTCCGGGAAGGGGGCTGGCTTCTTTCTCTGCGAGTCTTTCTTTAGGAGCCATTCATGAGCATAGCACCCTGAGTCTCTCAGAAATCCTGGTGCACACCTGGGTGGTAGAGAAGGACCCAGCAAAGCCTGGAACCAGAGTGGAGATTGAAGTGGGAAAGATACAGTCATTTGTTTTGTGGGAATACTGAAGTTATAATCCAGTTTGTGACCAACACACGTTGAGGTGGGGACCAAAGTGTCAGGTTTTGCATACCGGCCCCTAAGAAGAAGCCCTGGCGCAGAGTTGTCAGGTCATGTCGCCAACCTGCAGCTTGGGCCTTCCTGGAGTTTCAGATCTCAGAGCTGTCTTCAAGCATCTGAGGAGTTCAACAACTAAGAATAGATCTAGCTTTTCTGGGTACTAACGCATATGGACGTATGTTTGTGGGAGAAAAGCTTTCTCTAGAACCAGAAGTCTGTACACCTTGGGGTGTACTCATGTCTCAAGACTCTGGGCTTTCCTTTCTGCTTGAATACCAGCTGAGGCCAAAACTCAAGTACACATTTGTCAAATTGTTCCGCCATCTTAATTGCTTCCAAGGGTTGGTTCCTCCTCCGATGAGTGGTTCTATTTCTTCAAAGACACTCTTACCCAATTGGGGGAAGAATCGGCACATAGGACACCCGTATTCTGTAGCTGGCAGTGACCTCACAGAGACACTGACTTTGGCCCCAAGTGCGCCAAAGGCTCTGTCTCAATTTGCTAGCTCTTGTGTTCTGACACTCAAGTCTTGATTTGCAATTTTCCCATCTGGTTATTTATTCTTTTCTTGAGCTCTTTGGGCCAGATCCCCACCCCCTTTTCACTCTATTTCTTTCCAGGATCTCCTTGGGGGGATTTCTCACATATGTCTTGTAAAGAATGCTTTCTTCTCTTTTCAAATGTGTGAGTGTTGGGACAATCTACCACAAGTTCAGGCAGGTGCAAGAGTCTTCTGAGGCCATTTAGAACAACCCTGCACAGCCCTCTGGGGCTCTTTCCTCGGGATTTTGAGGCATGTCACAAGAATAGATCCACTAAGGAAACAGTCACAAAACTAGAAAATTACTGTCATAATTTTGTTGTGGGCACTGGGGGGCTTTCAGGTCAAACAGGACTACTGCAATCTGTTCACAGGAGATGACCAGGAGACCTTTGCTCTACTGTACTTCTTGGCTCACTTAAACATTTGTGAGACTGAATGTGATCGCTGAGTATGACACTGGGAGTCTGAATTTCTGCCTCTGGTTGCCCACTGGCCCATGATGCTGGGTGTGTTCTGAGAGTCAGGCAGGTTGGGGGCAGACTGACTGAGTGTCCTTCACTGTGGCAAGCGATGGGACATATGGGAAGACAGAAATCCAGGGATTAGGGAAGCCGACCGGAGTCTGAGGTTTAGACGCTGTTTCTGGTTCCTGATATGATTCTAGCCACCATCCTTGGCTAGTTCCTGTTGTTCCGACTGGTTGGATGTAGAGGATTAGGTTAGCCCTTGGTTACTCCCAGGGCCACACGCTGTGGTTCTGTAACTCCACTCCATCAGTTTGCATTACTAATAATCCATCCCTAGATAGTGCCTTCTACAAAGAATTTACATCCATTATCCCCACACACCCGACAGCAGCTCTCTGGAGAAGACGCTGGCCTGCTTGCCATGAGCCACTTCCTGATGGGTTTCTCCATGGTCTGCCACATGTCCTACATAAAGCCAGAAAGTCAAGTCTTGGATCCTCACCCGGAGAAAACGTCTACATGCCTCTTCAAAGGTTTGCTCTCCCTGTAGCCAAGGCTCTTTGAAGGCAGGTTCATGCTCCATCGTTTCAAGGACGTCTCCTGTCTATAGTTCCGTGGCTGCTCGGTGGGTGCCCTTGGTGTAGCTTTGAGAACACAAGCAGATGCTGCCTCCTGTTAATGCGTTACCTTCCCCCAAGAGAAGCAACACTGATACCTTTGTGTCTAGCTGTCTGGATTGTTGGTGAGCAAAAGCTGAGATTTTACGTGTGCTGCTTTTGGAGAAAATTTCAGTTTGTCCCTGAAGAGGGACCGGTATTTGCTGCTCTCTGTCTCACCTCCCATCCCTTGTCTTAACAATAGAACAAACAGTCCTGGCTTAGATGTAGGAAATGTTCTTGTTTTTTTTTTTTTTTTGGTCTGGTGTAGAAAGAAAGAGAGAGGGAGGGAGGGAAAGGAATTGGGGCTGGAGGATGGCTGGATGGTTAGGAGCTTGCACTGCTCACACTGCTTTTGCACAGGGCTTGAGTTCGGTTGTCTTTGGCCTCCCTGGACACTTGCTCATGTGCACACAGGCATGCACGTGTGTGCACGTACACACACAATTAAAATCTATCTTCTAAAGAATAACTAATTAATGAGAGTCCTGACCTCTTAAAATACAACCCAAATCACTGCTCAACCTGCAGGCAGGGGCTCTCTAAGATGTTTCATCAGAACCGTGACTGCACAGACCGGGCCTGTTTGGCTGCAGAGTTGGGTGCATGCCACTGGAAATGAGGTCTAGGAAGACTGCTTGGTTCACAAGTGAGGAGTTGCTGTTCTTAAGCTGGTCACTAGGTTCCCGCTTCTTCTGAGGCCAAGAAAGAGGAGAGAGACTCGAGAGGCAGTGAAACCGTGAGCAGCCACAGGAACTTGCTGACGACTAATACCGTTAACTGCAATTTGGCCAAACCAACAAAG